CGGGTGATACTGTTGGGTGACACAGTTGGGTGACAGCATTGAGTGACCCAAATGGGTGACAGCATTGGGTGACCCAAATGGGTGACACTGCTGGGTGTCGCAGTTGGGTGACAGCATTGGGTGGCCCAGATGGGTGACACCGTTGGGTGACCCAAATGGGTGACGCCGCTGGGTGACAGCGCTGAGTGACAGCATTGGGTGAACCAAATGGGTGACACCGTTGGGTGACCCAAATGGGTGACAGCATTGGGTGACCCAAATGGGTGGCAGCGTTGGGTGACCCAAACGGGTGATCATGTCGGGTGACACAGTTGGGTGACAGCATTGAGTGACCCAAATGGGTGACAGCATTGGGTGGCCCAGATGGGTGACAGTGTTGGGTGACACTGTTGGGTGACAGCATTGGGTGACCCTAACGGGTGGCAGCGTTGGGTGACCCAAACGGGTGATGCTGTTGGGTGACACAGTTGGGTTACAGCATTGGGTGACACTGTTGGGTGACAGCATTGGGTGACCCAAATGGCTGACACTGTTGGGTGGCAGCGTTGGGTGACAGCATTGGGTGGCAGCGTTGGGTGACAGCATTGGGTGACCCAAATGGGTGGCTGCGTTGGGTGACCCAAACGGGTGACACAGTTGGGTGACAGCATTGGGTGACACTGTTGGGTGACAGCTTTGGGTGGCAGCGTTGGGTGACAGCATTGGATGACCCAAATGGGTGGCAGCGTTGGGTGACCCAAACAGGTGATGCTGTTGGGTGACACAGTTGGGTGACAGCATTGGCTGACGCAGTTGGGTGACAGCATTGGGTGACCCAAATGGGTGACAGCATTGGGTGACCCTAATGGGTGGCTGCGTAGGGTGACCCAAAAGGGTGATACTGTTGGGTGGCAGCGTTGGGTGACAGCATTGGGTGACCCAAATGGGTGACACTGCTGGGTGACAGCATTGGGTGGCCCAGATGGGTGACACCATTGGGTGACAGCATTGGGTGACACAAATTGAGTGACACTATTGGGTGACCCAAATGGGTGACAGCATTGGGTGACACTATTGGGTGATACTGCTGGGTGACACCGTTGGGTGACCCAAATGGGTGGCAACGTTGGGTGACCCTAATGGGTGACACTGCTGGGTGACACCGTTGGGTGACAGCTTTGGGTGGCTCAAATGAGTGACACCGTTGGGTGGCCCAAATGGGTGACACCATTGGGTGGCCCCACTGGCTGACAACATTGATTGACGCCGTTGGGTGACAGCACGGGGGGAGGCCATTGGGTGACCCAAATGGGTGACACCGCTGGGTGACAGCACTGGGTGACACTATTGGGGCCCAAATGGGTGACACTGCTGGGTGACCCAAAAGGGTGACAGCATTGGGTGACGGTGCTGGGTGTCAATGTTGACTGGCTGACAACATTGATTGATGCAGTTCGGTGACAGCACTGGGGGGGAGGCCATTGGGCGACCCAAACGGGTGACACTGTTGGGTGACAGCACTGGGTGACACTATTGGGGCCCAAATGGGTGACACCTCTGGGTGGCACTGCTGGGTGACCCAAGCAGGTGACAGCACTGGGTGACCCAAACAGGTGACACCGTTGGGTGACAGCACTGGGGGAGGCCATTGGGTGACCCAAACAGGTGACACTGTTGGGTGACGCCGCTGTCCCTGCTGTTGGGTGACACTGTTGGGTGACACCATTGGGTGACAGCACTGGGTGACACTATTGGGGCCCAAATGGGTGACACCGCTGGGTGATCCAAGTGGGTGACAGCATTGGGTGACCGAAACGGGTGATATTGTTGGGTGACGGTGCTGGGTGTCAATGTTGACTGGCTGACAACACTGATTGACGCCGTTGGGTGACAGCACTGGGGGAGGCCATTGGGCGACCCAAACGGGTGACACCGTTGGGTGACAGCACTGGGTGACGCCGTTGGGTGACAGCACTGGGGGAGGGCATTGGGTGACCCAAATGGCTGACATCTTTGGGTGACAGCCCTAGGGGAGGCCATTGGGCGACCCAAACGGGTGACACCATTGGGTGACAGCACGGGGGGAGGCCATTGGGTGACCCAAACGGGTGACACCGTTGGGTGACAGCACGGGGGGAGGCCATTGGGTGACCCAAACGGGTGACACCGTTGGGTGACAGCACTGGGTGACACCATTGGGCGACCCAAATGGGTGACACTGTTGGGTGACAGCACTGGGGGACGCCACTGGGTGACCCAAACGGGTGACACCATTGGGTGACAGCACTGGGGGGAGGCTGTTGGGTGACCCAAACGGGTGACACCATTGGGTGACAGCACTGGGGGACGCCACTGGGTGACCCAAACGGGTGACACCGTTGGGTGACAGCTCTGGGGGAGGCCATTGGGCGACCCAAATGGCTGACATCTTTGGGTGACAGCACTGGAGGGAGGCTGTTGGGCGACCCAAACCGGTGACACCGTTGGGTGATGCCGCTGTCCCTGCTGTTGGCTGACACTGTTGGGTGACAGCACTGGGTAAAACTATTGGGGCCCTAATGGGTGACACCACTGGGCGACCCAATTGGGTGACAGCATTGGGTAATGGTGCTGGGTGTCAGTGTTGACTGGCTGACAACACTGATTGACGCCGTTGGGTGACAGCACTGGGGGAGGCCATTGGGTGACCCAAACGGGTGACATCTTTGGGTGACAGCACTGGGGGGAGGCCGTTGGGTGACCCAAATGGCTGACACCTTTGGGTGACAGCACTGGGGGACACCATTGGGTGACCCAAACGGGTGACACTGTTGGGTGACAGCACTGGGGGGAGGCCGTTGTGTGACCCAAACGGGTGACACCGTCGGGTGACGCCGCTGTCCCCGCAGCCCCCTCCTCCCGCAGCGGCGTCACGGTGGAGCTGTCGGAGCTCTCCTTCCACCTGCGCTCCTTTGGGGACCTGAGCCACGCCGAGCTGGACGCCGTCTGCCACTTCCTGCAGCGCCGCCTGGAGGAGCGCCAGCAGGGGGCGCTGCGTCAGCTCACAGCCTGCAGGAGAGCCTTCCGCAGGTCAGCTATGGGGCGCCTGAGGGTTCACTGGGGTCCTGGTTGGGGTTCCCCGTGTCCCTCGTTTTGGGATTCCCAATGTCCTTCATTTTGGGATTCCCAATGTCCCTCATTTTGAAGTTCCAAAGTCCCTCATTTTGGGGTCCCAGTGTCCTTCGTTTTGGGGTCCCAATGTCCTTTGTTTTGGGTTCCCAATGTCCCTCATTTTGGGGTCCCAATGTCCCTCATTTCAGATTCCCAATGTCCTTCATTTTCGGTTCCCAATGTCCCTCCTTTGGGATGCCCAAAGTCCCTCATTTCAGATTCCCAATGTCCTTCATTTTGGGTTCCCAATGTCCCTCATTTGGGATTCCCAATGTCCTTCGTTTTGGGGTCCCAATGTCCTTCATTTTGGGGTCCCAATGTCCTTCATTTTGGGTTCCCAAAGTCCTTCGTTTTGGGATTCCCCATGTCCCTCATTTGGGATTCCCAATGTCCCTCATTTGGGATTCCGAATGTCCTTCGTTTTGGGGTCCCAATGTCCTTCGTTTTGGGATTCCCAAAGTCCTTTGTTTTGGGGTCCCAATGTCCCTCATTTGGGATTTCCAAAGTCCTTCGTTTTGGGGTTCCCCGTGTCCCTCATGTTGGGATTCCCAATGTCCCTCATTTCAGATTCCCAATGTCCTTCGTTTTGGGTTCCCAATGTCCCTCATTTGGGATTCCCAATGTCCCTCATTTTGGGGTCCCAATGTCCTTCGTTTTGGGGTCCCAATGTCCTTCGTTTTGGGGTCCCAATGTCCTTTGTTTTGGGTTCCCAATATCCCTCATTTTGGGGTCCCAATGTCCCTCATTTCAGATTCCCAATGTCCTTCATTTTGGGTTCCCAATATCCCTCCTTTGGGATTCCCAATGTCCTTCATTTTGGGTTCCCAATGTCCCTCATTTGGGATTCCCAATGTCCTTTCTTTTGGGGTCCCAATGTCCCTCATTTGGGATTCCCAATGTCCCTCGTTTTGGGGTCCCAATGTCCTTCGTTTTGGGATTCCCAAAGTCCTTCGTTTTGGGATTCCCCATGTCCCTCATTTGGGATTCCCAATGTCCCTCCTTTTGGGTTCCCAATGTCCTTCGTTTTGGGGTCCCAGTGTCCCTCATTTGGGATTCCCAATGTCCCTCGTTTTGGGGTCCCAATGTCCCTCATTTGGGATTCCCAATGTCCCTCGTTTTGGGGTCCCAATGTCCCTCATTTTGGGATCCCAAAGTCCTTCGTTTTGGGTTCCCCATGTCCCTCATTTTGGGATTCCCAAAGTCCCTCATTTCAGATTCCCTATGTCCCTCGTTTTGGGGTCCCAATGTCCTTTGTTTTGGGTTCCCAATGTCCTTTGTTTTGGGTTCCCAAAGTCCTTCGTTTTGGGTTCCCAATGTCCCTCATTTGGGATTCCCAATGTCCCTCCTTTTGGGTTCCCAATGTCCCTCATTTTGGGTTCCCAATGTCCCTCATTTGGGATTCCCAATGTCTTTCATTTTGGGTTCCCAAAGTCCTTTGGTTTGGGGTTCCCCGTGTCCCTCATTTTGGGATTCCCAATGTCCCTCCTTTTGGGTTCCCAATGACCCTCATTTGGGATTCCCAATGTCCTTCATTTTGGGGTCCCAATGTCTCTCATTTTGGGGTCCCAATGTCCCTCATTTTCGGTTCCCAGTGTCCCTCATTTGGGATTGCCAATGTCCTTCGTTTTGGGTTCCCAGTGTCCCTCATTTTGGGTTCCCCGTGTCCCTTCCCAAAGTCCTTTGTTTTGGGTTCCCAATGTCCCTCGTTCTGGGTTCCCAATGTCCCTCGTTCTGGGTTCCCAATGTCCCTCTTTTGGGATTCCCAAAGTCCCTCATTTCAGATTCCCAATGTCCTTCATTTTCGGTTCCCAGTGTCCCTCCTTTGGGATTCCCAAAGTCCTTCGTTTTGGGATTCCCCATGTCCCTCATTTGGGATTCCCAATGTCCCTCCTTTTGGGTTCCCAATGTCCATCATTTTGGGGTCCCAATGTCCTTCGTTTTGGGATTCCCAATGTCCATCATTTTGGGGTCCCAATGTCCCTCATTTGGGATTCCCAATGTCCTTCGTTTTGGGGTCCCAATGTCCTTCGTTTTGGGATTCCCAATGTCCTTCGTTTTGGGGTCCCAATGTCCTTCGTTTTGGGGTCCCAATGTCCCTCATTTAGGATTCCCAAAGTCTTTCGTTTTGGGTTCCCAGTGTCCTTCGTTTTGGGATTCCCCATGTCCCTCCTTTGGGATTCCCAAAGTCCTTCATTTTGGGGTTCCCCGTGTCCCTCATTTTGGGATTCCCAAAGTCCCTCATTTCAGATTCCCAATGTCCCTCC